GTTTTGTGTTGTGCATTTTTAAGAATAGAAAAGAGAATACTAACATGAAAAGTGAATTAAGGATGAAATAGGTGAAAAGATAGAGAAAGGATGTATGACTTAGACCCTAAAAGCCTTATTTATAAGATTATAACAGTCACACTCTTACAACGTCGCAGTGAAATAAAAAGCGATTCTTCTCATGAATCTCAGGCTCTCAGCCATAATTCTCAGTTTACATCATTTTTATATTTAATTATTACTTTCTCCAGTTGACAACCAAACTTAAGAAGCAATTACTTAAAATACAATGATTTCATAGAACAAAATATGCATCTCAATGACAGACTGATCCGATACAGGCTCCTCTTCTTCCTTGGGATTTTTTATCTACTCCCTTTCTTCTCGAATTGTATTTTGGTTGAATTAATTTTTCCTTTTAAGTAAATCGTTTTATACTTTTACTTTTCCTCTTCTAGCTCTTTTAAAATAAATTGTAATCAAAAATCAAAAATGGTATAAATCTTAACATTAAAAAAAGAAAAACATGCATCTCAATGCACTTACAGACTTACTTTACTTCGCAGTGAATCAATAGATTTATAGATGAACTTTTTCTCATTTAAAAATGTAGAAAAATGTAGAGATTTACGAGTGAACATTTGTGGATCGTTGTGACTTGTGTGCCAAAAGTTTATACATATAATCCAATTAATTAGAGTTGAGTACAAGAAATGTTTTTGCAAAAACATCCCTTAAGCCCATTAGACTATTGGGCCTTTCTCTATGATAACCATAATAATCTAACCCATTGAGCCATGAATTTCCCGAAGCTCTCCTTTTATAAATATGCAATTGAGAATATTTGTTTTTTATAAGTTTAGTTTTTTTATCCATACATTCATCAAATTTCATTGATGTGTACGGCGAATACTTCTCGTTTTGTTTCTGTCTTCGTGTCGAGAATAGTTTAGTTAAATTCAATTATATTCTTGACATAAAAAAAAAATTCATTAATCGTGGAAAAACAGAGATAATTTAGCTAATTACAGTTCATTATCAAAGAACAGAGATGATAAGAAACAAATTAATCACATATTTACACAAGTGGCCGACAACATATAATTTGATTCGACATAGCTTTATACATTCTCATCATTCGAAATTTTAATTAAGTAAGACGAGTCTATATATTATAAATACTGAATATTCATTCTCATCCACCAATATTTAGTTTGTGAAATGATCTAACGGTCAAAAATAAAATAATACTGTACACTCGATTCAGTGGATCATTTCTCTATTGACCTACCACGAGTAAAGTAAACGCATCAAGTCAAATTTTAATGATGTAATCTTTCTTATTCCAAAAATAATTATTTGGAAATTATTTTTTCCAAGTAAAGTTGTGTCAACATTACGTCAGCGTTATGACGTCATGTTATAACAGACGCATGTCGTTTTTATCCAAACCGTCACCTTACGCAATCGTAACGTTCTCTTACGTTTTTACCCCTGGTCGCTTTTTCTTTTGTTACTACAATATATACGCAAGTATTAAAAAATTAATTTGTTCACAAGCAAAAACAAATTAATAATTAGTAAACAAACCAAAACTAGTCTATGTAGTTATATTCATTAGATTTAGGTTGAATAGCTAAAGTTTTAATTATAGATTTTTTTTGTTTTGTTATTTAACCTAATTTTCATTATTAAGATAAAATTATTAAGCAACTAAAAAATTCTTTTGCAACACAAAAAAAAACTACTCATAAAAGGAGAAATTACTTATCCTAACTAATTGTAAACATAAATTTCCATCTCCATTTGCGTAAAAATATTAATCTTGTAGCTTTCATTATATTGAAAAAATATCTCTAATTTCTAGTTTCAATATTCAATGAAAAAATTATTTTGACTTTAGTTTTTCTTTGATATTCATATAGGATTTTATATTACTAGATTATGACCCATGTTAATACGCGGTGAATAATTAAAATAATATAAAAATGCATTACAGTAAATATATTTGATTTTGAAATTAATAATTTCTATAATTTGAAAATATAATTATATTCTAAATTACGATTCACACAAATATTTAAAATTTATTTTCATATTATATATTTAATTTATATATTTATCTCATACTAAATTGTTTCATACATATTATTATATTAGCAAAATGGCATTTACAGTGTGACATCTCCTTTTATCTTAGCTATTTTTTCTGATAATTCGATAAAACATTTGTTTTGTTCTTGAAAGTATAGATAATTTGAAAGAATATATTTGGAAAATTAGCATGGATAACCAACAAAAATTTTATAATTACAAAACTAACCAATTGCCCTAAATCTCATGGCTATAGTTTTGCCACATAGGACAATTTTAGTTAGTTATTGAATTATTAATTTTTTTGGTTAGTATGTAAATTAATCCTAATATATTTTGTAATATTACAATTTAAAATATATATTTTTTAGTAGGACAGTTTTTTTCATTTTTGTTATTTGTTTCATAATACTTGTTT